TGGCAAAGTGTGGAACTACAGTATTTTTCTAAAGATATTTCCTGACAGGTTTATTTATCATTTTATATGTATGTAATATAACAAATAACAATCAAGGACTTATCTTACATATCTATATGCATGTATTTATAGGTTAAGTTTTAAAAACCCGAGAAACTGGACAATCTTTTATTAGCATATCTAAATTATATCATAACCTACAAATAATTAAAATTATATATAAAAATCATGCAGTTACTTTTTTTGCAGTTACTTTTTTAACACTGCCATTAATATTGTGGAACTACAGTATTTTTGAAATGTTGTGTTTTCATTAACTCTTTTAGCTGTTTGTGAATTTTAAAAATTCATAAAATGAGTAATTAAGATTGCTCCTTGGCATTTCCATTCTGTGTTTAAGATTATTGAGAGACATCATTATAATTCAAAATTTTCTTTTTAATTTTATAGCATCCTTTTTAATTGAAGTGGATTTTTAAATTTTGATAAATTATACATAACTGAAAATTTGCACTTTCACTATTTCTAATGGTACAGTTCCACGATACTAAGTACATTCAAATTGTTGGACAACCATCCCCACTATACATTTCCAGAACTTTTTCCATCTTGTAAAACTGGACCTTTGGTCACCTTAAACAATAATACCTTAACCCCTCTTCCTCCCAGCACCTGGCAACCACCGTTCTTCTTTCTATAGTAATGAATTTGACTCAGTGCATAACATAAGTAGAACTAAACAATCATCACCCTTTTGTGTCTGGCTTATTTCACTTAGTATAGCATCTAAACCTTGTTTTAATGTCACAATATTAAATAAATTTGAAAATGCTTAAAATAAAATTGATATACTTAATACAGATCTTTCCAAGATGCTCAGTAACACACACTATACCACGCTTAATTACCTCTTGATATCACAAAATCGATTATTATTTGACATTTCAAGACATATGTGTATGTTTAATAAGAGTTGCAATCTCACTTCTGAAGTTTACATGTTTTTAATTGTCGTATCATCAACAGATTGACAGTATGTCACCTTACATAGTGTGAGTTTAAATTTTTCCAAGTACAAATGTCAATTTGAGAGAGAAACATTTTCCATATCCGGGTCTGATAGATATTAAACTACAAGGAAACAGTTTATTATAAGTGCAGAATAAAATGGCAACGGTGTTTTTAAACTAATATTTCCTTTTACTATTTGCAAGTCAGTTAGACCTTTGACCCATACAATGATTAAGGCTATATCTAATGACTGTATATATATATATAATATTTAAAATCCCTCTTTGCATCACAAGCTGCAGATACTCCCATACATCTTGAGCAACCTTTCCCTCTGTTAGTCTTGGAGAAAAGATGGGTGATATATATATACAACCAGATTCTTACAGAAGGAGAGAAGGTAACCTTACAGAAGGGCAAGAGAGGGGGGAATAAACAGATTTTTATCTTCTTGGCACCTCTGCATCTCAAAAAATCTCTACTGTAATAAAGTCTGTGCTAGAGCTGGAGTGTCATTGACTGCATTCTTGCCTTCAACAATGGCCTGTCATCCCTGTGTTCTCAACTATTCCTCTTTTGTTCATGGTTAATGAGGGCAGCCTTTTCAGTTCAAACTCACTACAAATGGACTGGAATATTGATGGATCATGATCATTCAGAAAACTGGTTTTAAAAGTAATGCCAAGTTCATGTCTTGGGACCTACCAAAGCTCATCAGAATGTAGTGTATGGAGAGTTGTGAGCCAAGAGAATAATTGCCATTCAACTACATTATGTCAGTTGTCAGAGTTTACTCAAAGAGGAATGAAGAATATAAATGCTTTCTTCAGCTAGTGGGCTTTTCTCTCCCTTTAAGGCAGAGAAATGGGTAAATGTACTCATGAGTTTTAAGGTTTAGGAATAATTCTCTGAGGCTTGGTGCTCTGTTCTCCTAGCCCAGCAGGGCAGTGGCCCTGACCTGATGAGTTGCAAACTTACTCTAGAGCAGTGGCCCCTTATTTGGAAGTAGAGTCACTGCAGATGAAATTAGTTCAGATGAAATCCTACTGGAGTGGAGTGGGTCCCTAATCCAATAGGACTGGTGTCCTGATAAGCAGACAGCCATGTGAAGGTGGAGACACAGAAGAATGCCATGTGATGGTGAAGGAGAGATCGGGGTTATGCAGCCGCATGCCAAGCAATGCCAAAGCTTGCCAGCAAACAACCAGAGGCTAGGAGACAGTCCAAGCATTTCTCTGCAGGTTTCAGAGGGAGCATGCCCCGTTGACTCCTTGATTTGGGGCTTCTAGCCTCCAGAGCTGTGAGACAATACACTTCTGTTGTTTTAAGAGACCCCAATTATTGTACTCTGTTCTGGCAGCCCTAGGAAACTAGTAGAGTTATGACATAGAAAAAAAACCAGTTTCCCACTATTAAAAATGTTCAAGCCAGATAGATCAGGCAGATAACTGAGGTGACTTATGCATCAAATGGCAAGTTATATTGAATGGTCTCTGTTGAAGTCTTGTCAAATAGATGTTGGCCACTTCCTTTTCATCTTCTGCTTCAATAGAGGGCATCGTATAATGGCATAGCATGGCAGATACGAGTTAAACCTAATCTCTAGCACTTATAGCTAGATGTCCTTAGGTAGGTTTCAGAACTTCTCTAGCCTCAGTTAAATATGAATATTAATAGTCATCACTTCATAGTGTTTTTATGAGGTTTAAACTAGTTAGTAACTTAAACTGCTTAGAAGAGTGCATGGCAATAGAAAGTAATATAAAAGTGTTGGTTGGGAAAAAAAACTTGCTTTTATATTGGTTAAACAGAATGCATTAACACTTTCTTTCCATCACTGCTATTTCTCTCCTCCAAAATATGGAGAATTAAGAGAACTGGGGGGGGGTCAATCAGGGGAAAAGGAGACGTATTTAATACTTTAAACAATAAAAAATAAAAGAAAAAAACTAGAACTGCTTTCTTTTAAAATATTGTGGGGTTTGGGGTTTTTTGTGTTGTTTTTTTTTGTTTTTGGTCGATTTAAAATTATACCACTTGGACCATTTATTAACCAAGTATCAGTGGCATGATGCTTTTGACAATTTCCTTATAACAAGGCTTGATAATGTGTTAGTCCATGCTAGGATGGGTTTGTGCAAGAGAGAGAGAGAGGGAGTGTGAGAGGGAGAGAGAGAGAGATTCAAGTGTTTCTGAGAAAAATAATTCTACAGCATCATTTTCAGATAATAAAAAACTACAGTTCACCCTAATGAAGCTCACCTGAGTTTGTGGGTCCTAGGGTGATGGAGTTAGATAAAGATGTGAAGTTTTTTTGCAAAATTAAACCCTGGGAAAAGTAACCCTATTAAATTAGCATCTGTTGGTGACTGAAGGCTAATTTCAGCTTCAGGAGCTAGTGAAAGCATTTTTCAGTATATGACACTCTTAATAAATGATACATAATTGTCAAAAAGAAATCATCGCTCAGTGCCTTAAATTTAACAAAATGTGCTTTTGTTTCTTCCCTGTATAAGGTTACTAATCACTGCATCATTTGGGTGCATCGGAGACAGTTCTGGCAGGTTAATGATACCCCAGGCAAATTCACAGTTACTTTCCGTGAAACAAACCATCAATAAATGTGGTAGCAGTGCTTGCAACTATATAATTCTGAAGTCGGTGATTATGTAACTGTTGGATATACAGACAGAGGGAGGGCAGAGGATCAAGGACTGGTTGTTCCTCCCACAAAGAGCAAGTCGGTGAGATAGCGCAGCTCTTAAACATAAGTGTACACTGAAAGGCAATGAGGCAGGCTCAGCTGTGAAAGCCTGAAAAGTATGTTTGAGTTAAGGTGATGTTTAGAGGCCATGAAGAGTAATAGAAAGAAGGATTGCATTTCGAGAATTTATATGGACTTTGTTATAACTCCTTCATTTTCCCCAAAGAAGGTGACCAGTGTGGTGAAAGGTCAGCTCTTCGCTTGGTGTTTAATTCCAGTTCTTCTGCTTTATGAGCCATTTGTCCTTAGACAAGTTCCATGAATTCCCTGTGTCTCAATTACCTCATGTTGGTCATGATGTCCTCTCTTTGGGATTGTTATCCAAATTCAATGACCTCAGCATACAAACCATCTCACTCAGTGTTTGGCAATAACAGGAGCTAAATAATTGTTGACTTTTGTCTTTGAAGCCTCTTTATCTATTGAAGTTCCAGACACAGCGTTTGAGATCAGATAAGGGTAAACGTCACGGATGAGGCAAACACGGCAGTTCACTGGAAATAGCTAGCTCCTAATTCAACTCAATTCATTAAATATTCCTTGAATATCTACTACATGTTGAGCACTGAGGGAACATCAAAAAAAGTCAAAGGTTGTTCTATAACTTCTGGGAATCATAATTCAACATGAAGTAAAAGTTAACACAGCTCTTTGATCCGTTGAGAATTGTCTTTCAAGGCAAGTGAATTGATTTTAAGTATATATTCAGCATTCACACAGATTGATGAATTCAATGAAATTCAGCACAACCTTAAATTATCTTTCCTTTGCAATATTTATTTGTGGACTTTATAAGAATATTAATTAGCTTGACAGTGTTTCCTCATGAGTATCTATTTTGTTTCTTTGTTTAGTTTACTGTCTTATTCTCTCTGGGCTACTATAACAGAATACCATCATCTGGATGGTTTACAAATATAGAAATTTATTTCTCACAGTTCCAGAGGCTGGGAAATCCAAGATCAAAGTGTTGGCACATTCGAGCCTGGTGAACGACCACTTCCTAATCTACAGACAATAGACTTTTTGCTGAGTCCTTACAAGTAGTCAGAGATAAGGACACTAATGCCATTCACGAGGGCTCCATGCTTATGACGTAATCACCACCCAAAGGCCCACCTCCTAATACCATGACGTTGAGGGTTAGGACGTAAACATATGAATTCTGGGAGGACACAAGCATTCAGTCCATAATAGTTACTATTCCTTTTTCTTTCCAAATTAGTGTGTGTGGCAGTGTGGAAGAACCACCACATGAGGACAGTGACCAACTACTTCATAGTCAACCTTTCTCTGGCTGACGTGCTCGTGACCATCACCTGCCTTCCAGCCACACTGGTTGTGGACATCACTGAGACCTGGTTCTTTGGAAATTCCCTCTGTAAAGTGATTCCTTACTTACAGGTAATTGTTTTTGATACATTTTTGGTTCAAACACAGAGCTACGGAAAAATTACTTTCAATTATAGTCATAGTGCTCTATTGACTAGTTAGCTAAGAAAGTAATATACTTTCCCAAGGAATTGACAAATAAGGAAAACAAAGGAATCAGCAAACTTAAGGAAAGAAATACTTGAGACTTTCTATGTAAACAAGTTAAGCTCTGGGTTAAAATAAAGCAACAGAATCAGTAGATGCTGCATAAACTTTTTACTTCTTTCACCTCTAATTTTCTGATGATAAAATAAGGAATATGAACAAAGTAATGATTGAAATTCTCCCAGTCCAAATAATAGACAGATATTTGTTTTTATAAGTGGTTGCATTTCATGCTGAGAAATTAGGAACCATGTGATCAAAGCAGTACAGTAAACAGGTTTTAGTGCAGGTTCTGAATAAAACCACCAGGTTTGGAATATCTGTTCTGCCATTCACCAACTGTATGCTATCAAGCCAGATACATAAGCTCTTTGTGATTCACTGATTTAAAAAGGATAATAATTTTAATTATAACTATAGTCTATGGTTGTTGTTAGTCTACTTACATAAATTTATATAAATCACTTGGCATAGTGATTACCTTCTGGAGGATATTATAAAGACTTAGTATGTTCTCAGTAACTATCAGTCATCATCATCATCATCATCATCATCATCATCATCATTAGATGCTTTATTGTTCAGTAGTAAAAGCAGCTTTCCCACGATTAATTGTCCTACAAGAAGATAAGAACAAATACTTTCAGAGAGTACATTTTAAATTATATTCTGATAGCTCTAAATCTTTAACAAAAAAAATTCCTAAGCTAGGGGCCACAGCCATAATACTCAAAGACATGGATGCCCTTTAGCAATTGGGCTGTGAGTAAAATGTGGGCCATTCTCTTTGTGTTCCCTAACCTCATACCCATATCCATCCTCCACCATCTCAGTTCGTGCTCCATCCAGTCTCCCAGAGGGTGATCATAGTATTTGGAGAAAACAAAAATGTGCTCCTAATTATAAAAAAAAATTCTCATAAGGAAACCAAGCAAAAATATTAATGTAGATACAGACCTTACACCCGTCAGAAAAAGTAGTTCAAGATGTATCATAGATCTGAATTTAAATACAAAACCATAAAACTCCTAGAAGATAATATAAAAGAAAACTTACATGACCTTCAGTATGTTGATTTTTTAGATACAACACCAAAAGCATTATATTTGAAAGAAACAACTGATAAGCTGACTTTTTCAAAATTTAAAACTTCTGCTTTGTAAAAGACAATGAAAAGACAAGCTACAGATGGAGAAAAATTTTGCAAAAAGATAAACATAATAAAGTACTGCTATGTAAAATTAAGGGAACTCTTAAAACTAATTAATAAGGAAATAAACACTCCAATTAAAAATAGGCCAAAGACCTTAACGAACATCACACCAAAGAAGTTATACAGATGGCAAAGAAGCATCTGTAAAGATGCTCATCTTCATACGTCCATCAGCGAAATGCAAATTAAAACAACAACGAAATATCACTACACAACTGTTAGAATGGACAAATTCTGGAACGCTAGCAACACCAAATGCTGGTGAAAATGTGGAGTAATACTAACTCTTATCCATTGCTGCTGCTGGGAATACAAAATGGTACAACCACTTTGAAAGATGGTTTAGTGGTTTGTTGCACAATTAAACATAGTCTCACCAAATTATCCAGCAATTGAACTCCTTGGTATTTCCCAAAGGAATTGAAAACGTATGCCCACGCAAAAACTTGCACACGAATTTGTATAGCAGCTTTATTTATAATTATCAAAACTTGGAAGCCAAGGTGTCCTTCAGTAGATGAATAAATAAATAAACTGTGGTACATCCAGACAATAGAATGTCATTCAGCACTAAAAAGGAATGAACTATCAAGCCATGAAAATATAAAGATAATCCTTATTACTAAATGAAAGAAGACAGTCTAAGGAGACTAACTATATTCTGTATAATTCCAATACTATGGCATTTTGAAAAAGGCCATTATGGAGAAAGTAAAAAGATCTGAAGTTGTCAAGGATGGGAAAGGTGGAATAGGCAGAACACAGGATTTTTAAGGCAGTGCAATCTATATATATAAAAAGCCAGCGACCATAATGCCAGAACGACTGGAACGACCAGTCGCTATGACGCCCACTGTGGCCAGCGAACCGGCCTGATCTGAGGGTGGGGCCGGCTGGCCAACCTCCCTCGGCCCCTCCCCCAGCCAGCCCCACCCCTGATTGTACCCCCCCACCCCAATAGGGGGCAGGGCTGGCCAGCCAACCTCCTGCAGCCCCTCCCCCGGCCGGTCCGCCCCCCAATGGGCTCCCAC